ATTCTTCACATATTCAACACGAAGCTCTCTGTTGTAAATAGGATGGTGGATAATTGCAATTTCATTGATACAAGTTCAGCATCACCATGGAAATCTTGGGGTTCACACAACTTCGAAGTTGTAGAGAAATAAGACCACAAAAAGTCAAAATTTCTCTTTAAGTTACATGCTAATCCTTACAGTTTATGAAAACTGAAGCTTTTTTAAGGTTAACGGTGCTTCATTAGCAGCATGTCACTGGGTCTGGAAAAAGACAATGCCGGTTGGGTCCTAGATACTTCCTCATTGAAGCTTCAAGTTCCGTTTTCACATTTCATTCTGCATTACAGAGCCTGGTTGCAAACGTTGCGAGCACAGCTTAATCAGCATCATTGATACTTCTACTGGGCTAAGCTTTTGGGTAATTTATTAATTTTTTTAAAAATCTGAATTTTTGGATCTAACCTATCTGACAGCTTAGCTTTCACCTGAACAGCTAAGCAGGATTTTTAATTTCTCAATTTGCAAACATCCATTTTTTGGGAGCCTAAACAGCACAGCATAGGTAGTGCTTCGCTGCTCAGTGTCTGACATCAGCTTCAGCTTTTGTTATCATTTAACTAAAAAAGCCTAATTGATAAAGCATCACTAAGTCTGGCTAACCTTTGCCATGGCAATATTGAGAGGGGAGAAAGTATCGGATCACTCACTGAGATATTGCCCCAGCATTTTCAGTGCTGCATTAGACTTAACTGGTACTTAAAAATCTGACCAAAAAAATCTGTTTACTGGCCTTGTCATCAAGACACCTTGCCTAATATTGTCTTTCTCCTTTATTTGTAAAGTGGGGAATACTTCAAGCTTTTTCTGAGACATCAGGAAACAACACCTTCAAGTACCTCAGATCACAGGAAGGTGCTTTCATCTATGAACAGCAGGTTCTTTTCCCCTGCTTGCAGCATCATTCTTTTTGGTCCAACAATAAAACAGCAAGCGCTCCCCAGTGTTTCATCTCGTCCCCCATCCGCTGTCCAGCTTGGCCACCCCAAAACCGTGACAAAAATCCCAGGACCTGTACCTGGCCGAGCGGCTGCTTTCCCCCCAGCCCTGCACTGCAGTTCTCCCAGCAGCTCTCGGTGCTGGGAAGCGCCGTGCGGAAGGACCGAGCCCTCCCGAAGCCTGCGGGGACCAGCGGGGCTGGGGCGCCCTCCTGCGGCCACAGAAAGGCACGCAGACAGCAACCAGCCCTGTTGCCGGCCTGGTTTTGCTCAGGGTTTGGTGGCTTTTGTTTTCTCTGCAGGGCATTCAACCTGAAGTGATCACAGCTGAATACTTTCCACATTAAAAGATACGTGAATATTCATTAGTGTTTCCCAATTCCGGTTTACTAACCATTTAGGATGCGTAGTAAGCAATAAAAATACTGCCCAGAGCAATCCGGGAAAGCCTATCATCAGCCTGCCAAAATAATTTCAAAGTTACCAAATAACGTCACATAGAAAAACCCCACTACACCTCTCTTACCTAATATTACCTAATTTTATAGTATTACCTAATCTTAGAGCCTTAAGGCTTTAAAATGACACTTGACCTTAAAACGCAGTATTTAATGTAATTTAGTGGAAAGCACTAGGAAAGCTGGAAATTTACCTGTAGGACTAGAGGAAATGTTAACCTGCTCATCATCAGAAGGTGCCACATTTGTAGCAAACTCTTACCCAACACAGGACAACACAAAACGGTACAAAAGCTTGCTCCAAATGGAGTACCTGTTAGTGTGACACTAGCGATCTCCATACTTCTTCCTCCCTCTACTGTTATTACACAAGATCTACTTCTAGCATCGCACATGCAGACCATGTCTGATCATCTACTACTGCAGATCAAGCTTATCTAGCGCTGTTTCAGTATTAAAATAAGTAGGGCAAAAATCAAATTGGAATTGACTTCAAAAGTTTTACTATAAAGTTCATTTGCGCATGGAGAAGGCAGGCTTAAGCCCTATACAGGCTTCATTTACCTGCACATAGTAGCAGATACTGTGATTACTACATGAGAAAATCAGTGTCATTGCCAAAAGTTTCTTAAAAGTTCAGAGTATGTAAGATATCCTCTTTTTTCAGCAACCCTATCCACTAAGATCACCATCAGAAGTTCAACGTTTACTACACTATAAATAAAACAACCTCAGAAGTTATCCTTTCAGGCAAAGAAGTCACAATAAGCATTCAGTTTTAGATCTTTTATGAGCAAAGATGTTTTAATGTGTCACATTTCAAGAGCATTAATCTTTCTTTACAAGAAAAGAAAAAGAAAATCACTGATTTGGAGCTAGAGAGGTCCACAAGACTTTCTGCAAATTAAAAGTGCATGGAATACACGCATCATCCTTCACACATAAAGTATTTTGCAACAGGATTGAGAACACAGTAATTGTTTAACAATATTTTGAGTTAAAAGTACCTGAAAAGAATCTCTCCTTGGAGAGAGAGATTATCTGAACATCCTCCTGGACAGCTGTGCAAGTTCTCAACAAAAGCTTTTCTGTACAAGTGGTTTAAAAATCACACAGCAGGTTCTGGAACAGTCAAGACAATGATTTGATAGAACAAACATTCTACAATTACCTTCAGTCCATATTATTTCATTACAAACAGTTATCATGGCCTATGCTCTGTGCATTGGTGCTCGGATTCATGGCTTCATCCAGGCAACATTTTTTGTCTCAAGAGATCAAACTTGAGCACTTGTGCTGAAGCCCAAATGGGCGACTGAATAAATTCAGCAGCTTTTCCAGCACTGAACCCTCCCACGTAACCAGAGTCATTCAAATTTCCAATATCAAGCAGCAGACTTATCAAAGAGAGGTCATGTATAAACAGCACAGTCAAAACCCACATCAGATGTAGGAAGGCTAGTGGTTGAAAAATGTGTTCAGCATCTTTGAAAGCAGAAGTTTCCAACACCACTGCCAGAGAGAAAGACGACAAGGACAAAAATGACATTTCAAAATTAAGTTTGTCATTCCAATAACTGTGTTTTGTTGTTCAACACAGAATAAAGCAAAATAGTTTATTTATGCAGTGATGAGGGAAACTTGAGAGAGAAACTTAAGTCATCACCTGTCTCTTGAAAGATCAAGTCCAGAAATCAAGATTGGTATTTTAAAACTCAGCTACTCCTAGCCTTAAAACAAAAAAACACATGTATTTTTTATATATATATAAATAACGTGTGTTCTTGTCTAAAACCAGAATTACATTTGCATCTTAATATAGGCGTGTGTTTTGGAAATTCAATAGTAGTAAAATCGAGTTGAAGAAAACCACACCGCATAAAAAGTATCTGGAGCTACACACTGGCTAGTAAGCCAAATTAAGACCGAAAGGGTGGAAGGTTTTCATTTACCTACTGAGCTGCTCATGGGAGCCTATTCTGTAACCATTCTGTGACCACTAGAAAGCAGGCAGAACAATGACTAGACTGATTATTAGCAGTCATCTGACCAGACATAACTGGTCTGAAAGGGAATAAGAAGCTTAGTACATAATAAATAATTTAATCCTTCTTCCTATGAACAGTCAGGAAGTTACATTTTCCTCTTTTCCATCCACCGAGCAACAAGGCTGATTAAATTAAGAGGAAATTGAATCTATAGCCACCTTAACTAGGCAGATATTTAGAAGGACGCCATTAACTCATTTACCACCATTATTCACTTAAATTGTAAATGCAGTGGTTTCTTTCACTTTGTCCACATAGAAACATTCCTCAGAAGGGAACTACAATGCACAAATGAATATTATCCATCCAGATGGACTTGAATTTCTAACACGGACGGCCCACTGACAAACATAACGAAACAGCAAAGATGCTCCATGATTACAAGCATGGCACAGCACCCACTGGAGTGACACGAGAGCCCTTCAAAATCTCAGCTAGGAAGGGGAAAAAGTTACTTTAGAAGTCTTTGTAACAGTGAGTATATCTTGCAGTAAATATACTCTTGCATCTATTATGATCTATTATTAAGATCCATGATTTTCACATGAAATTCCTTAAAGAAGTAGCTACTATCACTAAACAGTTTTGTTCCAGCAGTATCTGATGATTAGATGACTGAGCTTTATACATGTCATTGTGCATAATTAATCAACAGTAATCAAATTCCACCTGAAAATTCCTACCACTGACATGGAACACCAAGGCACGCAGGCACTGAAGGCTCAAATCTGTTTGACGCACATGTAACACTCACTGACAGTGGTAGAACAGCATGTAAGCTTCCAGAAACACCTTCCTACCTAACCCCATTCCATCACACTTGCTTTTGCCAGTGAAGTAACTTCCACGTCTCTGCACATAATGAATATTGTATGAACTTTTGTGAAGAGACTGAAATTTAAGAAGAACCTAGATTGACACTTGCTCCTTTTATAAGTATGCATATAAATCTGTTTTGGGTGAATTTAGTTACCAGGAACCTTTTAACTTGTTCCTGAAGCTCCTGACCAAACTTAACCTTCTCTGGTCCCTCATCCTAAAAACAACTTCCCATTCCTCAAGCCAACAGATGTTAGAACTACAAGTGTGCACAAGACTTCTAAAACACTAACTTTCTTTGTGAAAAGACTATTTCAGAGTAAGTGTAATCTATAATAAGTGTAATCTTCCTTTCTGGAAAGCTACCTACTGCCGTGCCACAGAGGCCTGACAGCCAGGTCAGAACCAAGGGCAAACCTAGACCCTTGCAGTGGATCTCAGTGCCAAACCCAGCACCCGGCATTAAACACTGTATCTAGACCTGGACAAATAAATCACAGTATTACCATCGCACCAGCAAGGGTCTATATACAGCTGCAGCTCCAGCTTGACATTCTCATCAGTGAGAATAACGGAGTAAATCTGTACTGACCAAGTGAGTTAATTCTGGTAAAAAAAGTGATCACCTTTACTGACTCCACTTCACAGGCTAAACTGTCTGGCTAGCCACAGATTCTGCTTTCTATTTCTTCTGTGTGTTGTGTTTCTTTTTTGCCCTACAAGCTATCTGAAAACTAGAAGCAGCACAAGAAATGCATATACACAGGGCACACTTTCAGAAATTCTTTAGTTTCTGCCCACTAGAATGTAACTGGAATAACTGACGTGTCTTGACATCTGCTTAGGAACACTTGTGATGGGTAAAATAGCGCTTATCATCTACAGGTATCCTACCCAGCAACTTTCTTCCTAGTCATCGCTCTTTGTGAAGTGCACTGTTGCTAAATGAGCTATTTACAAATGTAAACTATGTAATTAAAAGTTTTAAAATAAATAGACAACCTTTACATTAGGTAGCAACTTGACAAGAAGGTAATAGATTATCCAATTTCATCTTTCAAACACAATGATCTGTGTATGCTGCTCAATTAACTTTTTTTAATGAAGAAAATCCTTGGCTCACAAGCTGTGCTGCAAGAACTTCCTTGGTTTTCTTCTTTTAGGCTGGGTAATTGTGTAAAAATTCCTTAAGTTTTGTTGGATAGTCTGTCATCACTCCAGTTGCTCCCAGATCAAATGCCCTCTTGTATTCTTGTTCTTCATTCAGTACCCAAATATACACCTATAAGATGGGACAGAAAGACAAATTATTACAGGAAATACTCAAAAAGGTGACTTTTGACCTAAATTGTTTCATGGGAGAGCTGATGCTGCATATATATATGTAGGGTCATATATATATATATGTATATATGGCTGTGCCCGGCCAATTCACATTCTCACTAAGTCAAAAGCACATTTCCTTTAGCTTTGCCACACTGTACCTGAATGCCCCGAGCAGTGAGGTGGTCAAAAAGTGCCTTCCGCATTAGCAATCTGCATAAAGGAGAAATACATTATTTAAGAACTTGAAGTATTTATAGACTCTTCAATGTCTGTTCATGTTCTGTAATGAATTTTCCATAGAGCATTTAGAGTCTATGTTTTCCATGAGGAAGTGATTAGAATCTTAATTATAGAAAACTTTTAGTTCAAGCAACTCAAGACTGGTTAACACAGATACCCAGAAAATTGCATTAGCTGTGGATATTTGTATCAACTCTTCTGAAGATCAAACCCAGCAGATTCCTCCTTCCTCGCAGAAGTACCCTGCACCATGTCTGATGGATCGATCCCTTTGCTTTCAGAAGATATTTTCTCCTTCACACCAGAAGACATGAAAACCCTACAGGCTACTCAAGAAATCAAACCAACAGATGTCAGGCACAGAAGCAGAAGACACTGCAATCACATTCAATGTCTCAAAAGCATGAGACTCAGTTTCCTCCGAAGCACAGATACTCTTAAAAGCAAGGTGTTCAGTCTAAGCCAAACAGTATCTCCTCCGACAACATGATGAAACAGTCACAATCCCATAAAATGTGAACAGCTCATTCTGAATCTACCTGCATGCTAATTGACTGAATACACTTAACAACAGAAACTAAATAGACTAAATTGGAATAATGCCCACTGTTACTACACCTCAGTATGTTTCAGCATATGAAAAATAAAAGCATTCAGGAACACCTATGTAAAAGTTGAATGTGATTTATGCTGCATTGACAGAAGAGCTAGAAGAAACTGAAAAAAATTACAACATAAGTAACTATAGCAATAACTACTCTTAGTTGCTTGAGCCAATGGTTAATATATAGGCAAAATAAAAATAAAAATTTAATAATATTAAAGTCTTACGCATCAGCTAGCCAGATAATAAACTTCTGGCTTCTTGTCATCTTCTGGGGTTCTTTCAGCCTGTTGGGGAAGAGGAAACAAAAAATTACCAGAGCACAGATTATAATATTATTTGAGATGTTCCTGAAAAAGGAACATGAAGAATTAATCTTGCAGTTTCTCAAATTAGCACAGTAATTTCACTGTCTAAGACAGTGACTTAGAATTGGGTTACACAAGAGAAATGTGCTACATTTAAGAGGAGCAGCAGGGAGCTGTTTTCAGCAGCATCTTGAATAAAGCATCAGAAATAGAGCACGTGAAATCTCGTATCTACCCTATTACTGACTTACCTCCTGGCCTTTATCAGGCTAATTTGTTCTCAAGAAAGAGGGAGGAAAGTGCAAAAACTCGTTATTTATACAGCACTGCTGCATGTTGCTGTCTAAATGGCATCGGCAAGAACTGTGTCATAAAGGCAGCTGCATGAAGACAGTATTTACAGGAGATGCTGTAAACAGGAAACACTGATACACACAGGCACCCCACACCAACAACTGAGTAACTCAGGGCTGGTCAGAGACACGTAAAATACAGAGGAGCAAAGGGTCTGCGTAGCTTTCTCTTAGGAACAGACAAAAGTGCCTAAACTAACGGTCTTCTTAGCCCAAGGACACTGACTCAGTGCTCAAGCTGGGATTATCATTCACTTGTTTTACTACCAATTCAGTGCAGCACCCACCGGCAAACTCTAACTCACTTGAGGATGATTGAAGGCATGGGAATTTCCAAGAACTCTTCCTTGAAAGGGATGAATGGCAGCAGGCCAGTGTAGAACAGGCCAAGAAGCAGGAGGACACGTTGCAAACAGAAGATGATGGGAATGTCAGCATTCTGCAGGAACCAGCAAAGAAATTACTTTGGTAGATCGTTGAGTCTGCTGCAATTAAATTTACTCATCAATGCATGTTTAAAGTTTAGCACTTGCACCTTAAGATTAGGCTGCCAATTGTTTATGATATGCCTGCCACTGAATTTAAATTACTCTTTCTGGCAGCATGTAACTCAAGCAAGTTTCACACTATTTTAAGGGGCACTGGGACCTGGAAAGGTAAAGTTCTGTGGGTTGCAGTACTGCTTTTGTTACCTGCTTTCATCATCTTTCCAGACTGCACAGTTTTGATTTACAGTGTACTTTTCTGTACCTTTTGTCACCACACAGCAACAAGCACACAAGAAGAACGAAGCTTAGCTAGACCCATTCTTACCTCCTTAAGACACTTTGATACAACCTCGTAATTGGCATTCCCCCATACCGTCAAATGCTCTCGCTTATACTGACACACCAGGTCTGAAACCTGCAATGGAAAAAAGCAGAATCCTAACAAGTATTCATTGAAAATGAGGTGCAGCATTATTTAACTGAAACTCTACTTGCTACTTTTCAACTACATAAGCCATTACAAAAAAGAGAGTTCTTCCATACTTTCTCCCAACTTAAGATGATTGTGCTGCTTTGACTGGGAAGAAACAGGTGTTCAGCTCAACAGATAAAAGGAAAGACCATTATACTTTAAAAAGGCCTAGAGAATTTAAGAAAACTAGACGGCAAAATAGTATCAGACGGAAAGCAGATTTCCTTTTCTGTGAAGAACACTTATCTTTACACTGACACCATGTTCTTATGCTGCTCTGCTAGGCAACAGTCCTTAAGAAGACCTTTCATATGAAGTACAAAACAAACACCTCCAGCAGTGTAGCACTGGTTTCATGTCAAGATAAAGGGTCAGCAAAGATCTGTTTGCTGAATATCTTGCACAGGATCACTTCTCTGTCTTCTGTATTACCTCATACATGGAGCAAGATCTAACACGTGAAGGATAAAGCAGTACAAGAACACAGAATTTAGTGTCACAGACTGCTAACAACTCCAAGAAACTCTTCTTTTGGAATTTCAACATCATTATGTGACATTCAGTCTCAGTTCAGCATAGATTTCATATACCTTTTTGATCAACACATTGTTGTTCACTTTGATATCAATGTTGACAGGAGTTTGTGGAAACGCCTCAAACACCTCTTTCAGGAGTGGAATACGGTTGTCTTTTCCCTCGCAGTGACATTCTGGGGAAACAAGAACACTGACACTGCTGTGACCATTTTTAATACACTGCAGATAAAAGCTGACACGTCAGAGCAGTTGTTATCTTAAAATTAAAAATATATAGGTCCTAGAATACGCAAATATTTTAACTGGGAAAAAAAATCACTTCACTCAGTTGTGATTATGACAAGCTCACTTCTCTAATGAAAATTCCTGTATTATCTGACATCTCGTAGTACTTCAAGCCCAGAGTGCACTAGCACAATAGCATTTGAGTTGTAAAAAAACAGCTCTTCCCTGCGTTCCCTTTGTTTTTCAGAATAACAAGTTTTCAGTCAGCACGCTCTGAAGAGCTCACAAGGGAACCGAAAAGCAGATGCAAGAAGCAGACAAGCAAACAATTGAAAAGTTTACTTGGAAAAAGATACTTTACATCCTAAACTTACTCACCGCCAACTGGTACAAAAAATAAATAAATTGGTTCCTAAAGCTAGGATTGTGTTTTCCTTTGAAAGTCTCTCTCATCAAGACACTGACAGAAGCAACTCCACCTTTCTACTCCCTTTGTCAAAATAAGAAATTGCCACAATACAATAATGGAAAATTAGTTACTGTTATTGTAAATTGAAAAAGCAAGAGAGAAAAATGTACCTTTCTGAAATGTGACACTTAACTTGCAGAGATATGGTGGAAGTTCCTTAAAAATAAAGAGAAATTGAACCCAAATTCAAATGCAGGAATATAATCACTACTTTTCACCAAAAATAAGACAAAAAATATATAATTCATAAGCCATGTAAGTTATCTTTAAAGATACAAATCATACTTTAAATCTTCTTGCCCAAAAAGTGATCTAGAAGCACTGCATTCATTCTTACTTGAACTATTTGACATTCTTAGACTTTTGTTACCTGCAGCTGAATAAGGCAAAATGTTCCAATGCCTGTCTGAAAATTCTGAGAATTCCACTTAAATATCAGATGGAAAGATAGCTCTGTAAACCAGGCTTTTAAAACTGTCACTGCAGGTGGGATTCATCTCGGGTTTTCCCATTAAAAAGCTGGTCATACGAGAAGAAGCCTTTGTCATCGGTGTGGCAAAACAGGCCCACCTCCAGAAAGCTCCTCATCCAACCTGCTACTGGAGGGAGTTAACCACCCTCCGGAAACATCCTTGTTTGTCTCCCTTCACTACACAGGAAACCCAGGGTTTTTTTGTTTGGTTGGTTTTTTTTAAATAAGATGAATCCTCTCCTTAGATTTTGGATACCAGACATACACACATACACAACCTTCCTGCCCACCCCAGCCATTCTACAAAGACATTTTAAAACATGATCTAGCACTAATGATTTTCTTCAACTTACAGAGTATTTCAGGTCAGATATGTTGACATCGACTCCTGTTGATCTCTTCAGGTTCTCATCGTGGGACACCACCACTTGCTCATCTTTTGTCAGGTGACAGTCCAGCTCCAACATATCTGTTCCTATGTTAACCGCACTGGAAGCAAAGAAATCTGCTTTGAACCACACATGTATTTTGCACAGCTCCAAACCTCACACATACACGTTATTCAATTAAACTAATCCCACTGGAAGTACTCCAGATGCTTTATGATGCAATGATTCCTCACAATTTTGCTGCAAAGCAAGAAGCAAATAACTTTGTTGCACTGGGAAAGCTGATTCAAGAATAAGCAATGTATCATGAATCAGAGAGGGAGCATGAACTGGGAGCTTGGGCTCCATCTTCCATAGAAATCAAGAGTCATGTTGAATGCAGCCCACCACCTCGGTATGGAGAAACCTAAAGAAGTGTTCCAGAACACTGAGTGTTACATTTATTGGTACCAGTACATTTACCACTGGAAGAAGAGAGCTCTTGTAAAGAAGTAATCAATTTTGTGGGAAGCATAAGCAATTTATGACAGGGATCACAGAATCACGGTATATTAGGAATTGGAAGGGACCTCGAAAGCTCATCCAGTGCAACCCCTGCCAGAGCAGGATCACCCAGACCAGGTCACACAGAAATGCGTCCAGGGGTTTGGATGTCTCCAGAGAAGGAGACTCCACAACCTCTCTGGGCAGCCTGGGCCATGCTCTGTCACCCTCACAGTGAAAAAGTTTTTCCTCATGTTCAGGTTGAACCTCCTATGCTCCAGCTTGCACCCACTGCCCCTTGTCCTGTCACTGGACACCAGAGAAGAGCCTGGCTCCTTCCACTCACCCTTTACAAATTAATGTTTATGAATATGTAAAGGGTGGGTGTCAGGAGGAAGGAGCCAGGCTCTTCTCTCTGTGAAGGATATGAGGACCTTTTTTAACTTGATTTATGTTAATCGGAAATGGATGGATCTGGAAATTCGCAATGAGGCTGTCAGGCTTTTGGCATTTTTGGCTAGCAAAACTACATTTAAAAATAGTATTTTAATGCAAAATTTTCATTTTAAATTTAAAAAAAAACCAAACCACAACACCCAGTCATATTTGTCAAAGAAAAACAGCTATTCCTGTTCCAATCTGCTGCTTTGAAATGTTCTAATCCAATCCCAAATCCACCCTATAGAAGCTTAGCTTGCAGGAGCGGGGAGTAAAAGAAAGCGGAAAGTAGTAATACTGATGAAAAGTAAGAACAAGAAATCTCACACCAGAACAGGAAAACTAAGCTTCACCCCAGCGAGAAGTGCATTGCTCATTAGAAAAGATACTCAGAAGGTATCACTCCAGTAGACAGCTGGAAGTCCCAGCCTGAAGTCTGAACACTTCCTTCAAAACACGGAGCTGTTCTTTTTACCCACCTACGAATGAAGGTGTAACATCTGTGAGTACAGCCCATACAGGATCCAAAGCTCTGCGACTTCAGCAACAGCCTTTTCCTTAAGAAAAGGGCTTTACTGACTGCTGAAGTACAGACTTGCCATAAACATTCATAAACGCAATAACAATACACAAAAAATGAGAACATAACTCCCATAAGTGTTTAACACAATTTCTAGTCCAGCTGGGATAATGATCAAGAGGGGGGCTGTCACATTAAAACCAATTTGTTAACTGTTTCCCAGTGCCACTAATTAAGAATTAGGAGAGGAACAAAATCCTATTACACATGGAAGACACACAGCCTGTTCTGTGTAATTTTTTCTCCTGAGGAAAAGCATCTTCAAATATGCTGCAGGAGTTTTGCCAAATTTGTAGAAGACGTTCCCATCTAGTACCACGTATTATCATTTAGCCAGCAAGATTTATTAGAAATATTACTGCTTAAGAAATTCAGGGCTGATGCTGCAGGGAAAAAGGAGAACAACAACTTTCTTGTTAACAAATTTGAGAAATTGCCAGACTCTTACTAGCAGCTTGCTGCTACATAAGCTTCCTTAAAGTGCTGCATTTTTTCAGCTGGAAAACAGTTTGTTCTGCAGCTCTGTAATAACACATCAAATATACGTTGCTCCAAAGAAGACTCCAGATTCAGATCATGTCGGATTCAGACCAAACTGCTCCAGCACTCAGGTTGTGAAGTAGACTCACATTTGCAAATCAGAACGATAGAGCTCTCTGATTGTGTTCAACTGTTTTCAAGCAAAAGGAAATACATAAAAAAGCTTACATTGGAAAATAAATTCCATTAGGCAAGGCCTAATGTAGCACAATGTATAGAATATATAAATACTAATTTGACCATGTGCTTCTATTGCTCTAACTACAGCGTTGGAAGCGTTCTCTCTAAACCAAGTATATTCATAAAAGAAGGAAATACAATGAGAAAATATCTGGAGAGTTTACTTAGCAGGTTCCTATCAAGATAATGCTATACCACATGGCTGTATTAAGGACAATTAAACTCATAACTAAATCCTTATGACATCCTTTATGCCAGATGCCAAATACTTTATGACACTGCAAGTAACCCTTTCAGCTTAAAATCAATTATTTTGAAATCTAAACCCACTACAGAAGCATTTAAATACAGTATAACATGATTACAGCCCAAAAACATCTATTAGGTGCTTTACCATGCAAACAAAAAAACTACTCTCTTTGGTACAAAAAGCTTATAATTGCTTTCCAGAATATTTGCAAGTTTAGCTAGTATAGAACTGGAAAATACCATTAAGGCCTCCCCCACGTATACTTTGTTTATATCTTACTAGAATTATTTCTTAATTATCATGCAACAGTATTAAATATTCTCCAATCACTGTTAAAGCATAAACAGCATAAATAAAACTATTTGCGTGTCAATACTTCAGTTACTGTCAAAGCAGCAAAACCAAGGGGGTAGGCCTTACGCTGCAGATGAGCAGTCTCTCTTGGATTCAGCTACATCAATGGTCAAGTACGCCTGCTTGTAGAAACCTGCAGGAACAGCTCGTGCAGGTGTGCCCTACCAGGCTTTATGAAAAATCTGATGATTTATAAATTGAGTAGTTCATAACAGCTGTCAGAACCAACCCAGGGGATTTTTTTCACCATGTAGATCACCAATTTTCTACCCGATTCCTTTTGCTAGTTTACCAGTGGAGATGGAGTGAGCAGATGGGAAGGACAAAGCCTTTACCCCCTCACAGAGGAAGCCAGAACACTTTCTGCTGCCTAATGCAAGGCAATCATGCTGGCTCTGCTTTCTGCAGAAGTAATATGCCTGTATTCTTCAGCCAAGACAATCTCAAAACAAGTAACTGAACTTTGCTATGGGCAGTTGTGATGAGTTCTAGAAGTGGAGCTCAACGCGTTTACAGTCATAAAATAACTAAAATGGTCAGCAGAGAGACACACAAATGTCTGTATTATCACAAAACATTACTATCACAGAACAGCCCTTACTCCAAGTACTACAGCTTATTTCTGGGAATGAAATGAAAACAGGTTATAGTGTAACTTTCTTTGCAAGAGTCTTATACATAAAAGCCAGTATGATACTAAATGAAAATTAAGAAGTGGTTAAAAAAAAGCAGCACGTTCTGGAAAGCGTGGTAGCAGACTTGAAAAGAGGCAGGCCAGCAGGAAAAAAAAACAACCCACAAAACCATGCTAAGCTTCCATGGAGATAGAAAATACTGCAGTACTTTCAATAGCACTGTTTGGTTGGGAAAGCTGGCACTCCTCAGGCTGCAAGGAAATGTGCAAACTGATGAGGCTGCTTAGCACAAAGTAAATGAAAAATGTAAAAAGCACCACCAAAACAAAGAGAAGCCTACATCATCTGGTCACTGCTCATTGGCAGCTGGAGTTTCAGATATGCTTATTTTTCAAAAGCCTTCGAGAACCTTGTTAGAATTCACTATGTACGTGCTGGAGGCTTAAAAGGCTTTCCAGTACCATCTTGATTCTTAATCCCTAGATAAGAGGCTGTCACACACTGGGCAAATACAGTATGTGTATGAAGGGAAAAAACCAAACATTTCAATAGCTTTACAGATGGTGTATTAAGAGTTAGTTAACATAAGGATTGCCGTCGCTAATTCTCGGAGATAAATTATTAATCTTCTATATAGAGGAGGAAACTCAATACTGTGAAACTATGGAATATCTAAGCGAATTGCTTACAGCCAGAATAGCAGTCAGCAAAGTCAGATGCCCTGACATCCAGCCTTGTATGCTAACTGGTATAGGCTATGATCCGAAACACCTTTTGAAAAACATCAATGTATCTTAAAAAACCCCACCGCTATATGATATTAGTTACCAAAAAAACCCCAACATTATAATGATAAATAAATTGGTGGAAGCAAATGTCCATTAAACTTGGAAACAGTATTATTTTATGTTTTATTAGCACAGGAAGAATCAGGCCTCAGGAGTTTTATTTCCAATTTAAAGTCTATCACGTTACTGCGTACAAACTGTAGTTCATGGTATCCCAATTCCTTCTTGTTGAAATTGATGTTTAGCAATCCACAAAATCATAGAAAGGAGAGACGGCTTCCAGAAACAGGACACCGTACCCCAAACTGCTGATGGGATTCCTATCTTTCTTGATTGCTTCACGCACTAAAGACAACGAGAACACTGCTGATTTAGGCATTATTGGTTCCATTTGTACTCACTGGTGAAAGGCTGCCATCGTGTTTTCCAGGTTCTCTCCAGCACCTACAAAAATAACAAAAACCAAAAGATGTACAACACTGTTTTCCTCCCCTCAACCCCACGGGAAATAGATTAAAAAATAATGTATTTTAAAATGTACATATTTTGAGGAATTATTTGGAGGAATGAGTATAAAGCTTACGTGAGAAATCCCTGTTGGTGCTAACTTACTGGGGAAACCCAAGAGATGGGACTTCCTCAAGGTAAAACAATAAAAAAAGGAAAAGGGGAAAAAAAAAACCAACAAACAATAAAAGACCTATCTTGGATTTGTATAACACTTTGAATATACAAAACAAAGTGTTTCTTTTACCAGAGGCTGGGTGCCCTGTTTTTCCTTAAAGGCACTGTATTTGGCTATGACAACACACTCCACAGACACACACACACTATATGCAAAATGTCTATTTCAGAATGAGATTAGTACTAAAAGGAAAGGTGACAAGAGGGGAAAAAAACCCAACAAAACGAATCAAAACCAAACCTCAAGGGCGAAAAAGAGCCTAAGACTCTCTAAAGCTGATACTCCCTAAACTCACAGCCCAGTTGATGCTCAAAGAAGTGACAACGTCTTTTTTCAGTGCGAGGATACTTCCTGAAACAGCACAAATCTGTCAATAAACACTTATGCTACTGGCAAAGAGAGGTCTCATTCACAAGAAATGAAACACACACAACAACTCCAGTTCAGAAATGAAAGGAGAAGCCAATTTTCTCTCCGGCAGGAGTAAACCCTTCAGCTCTTAAGCCATCATTCTCTAAAAAAAAAGTATTTGAAAATCAGCCTGCTTAGGGTCTGGAAAGGGTGGTGCGTTTTCCATCCCTCAGAAAACAGACAGGACTGTATACTGAAAACCAACACACTTTGAGATGATACATGTACAGATGAGGATATCTATGTGAATTTTAACTACTCTTTGACAGTGATGAATGATAGACTTCGTAAACAACAATTATAAAAGTGTCAATTAATTACCAGTCATTTACCAGTACATACTTCTCTAAGTCCATGCTGAGTTACTCAATTAAAGCAATGCAATTCTACACACAGAGCTAGCAATTTAAATTGGCTTTATCAGGTTAGCTTGCATTGGTAAGTTTACAAAAACAAAGATTTAACTGACTTCAAATCATAATGACAAAAACCTGCATGGTTTACCATAAACCAATACCATAAGTCCACAGTAGCTTCTGTGATGAGACATTCACCTATATTTTATGGAATTTAACTGCAGCACTAGGAACAGGCTGAGTGCCAAAAGTGTACAAGGGATAGAGGAGAGCAATAGAATCTCATGGCATACTTCTGATAGGAAAAACCTGCATAGGACCCCGATGATTAGTTATAAATTAACTGCAATAAAAATGGAGGGTTTAGATAACTTATCAGCTGTGACAATACAGACTATACATCCTGAGCAGTAAGGGGAGGGGGGGGAAACTGAGTCAGACTTCAATTTGTGAACAAAGCAACAGTTTCCTACCATTCCTGGGCAGAAATTTCCAAAAATGAAACTCCTGACTGATCTAACAAGTCACATGTTAGGGAGGTAGGTATGGCGAGTCAAACCAGTTGGTAACAAAACGCCTGACTTGTAGCATTTTGGAGAAATGAGGAAAAAAGTTGAGAGATCAGCTGAGACAGGAATTCTAAATCAGCAACATGGCTTTCACAAACCACATTCAGAAAAGGGAACTACGACAAGCAAGTGACTCATTGTACTAAATCATCTTCCCCTTCTTAAAAATGAAAAGGCTGGGCTGACCAAAGAGCTTCTGACATTTTATTTAACTTAAAGGCACCTCCAAACAGGTATCGTCCGCACGTGTTGCAAACTATGTGCAATTCCCATGCAGAAACTACCTTCCCCAGCATTCTTTAGCATCCCGTGAGCAAAGCTGGCCACATCCAAATGTTATGATTGCATACCTCAACTTTGAAAGCACCACCACAGGACAAGAGAGAGTCAATGTCAAGCACTGGCTCAAGGAGATGACCCTTAGAAGTTTGGTTGTTTTTGGTTTCCCCCCCCAGTGTAATCCCAAGAAGCGCATTAGGAAGAACCTTGCCAGAAGGCCAAGGGAGGCAACTGTTCCCCTCTACTCAGCACTGGTGAAACCACATCTGGAGTGCAGTGTCCAGTTGTGGGCTCCAAAGTACAAGACAGACATGGATCTTCTGTAAAAAGTCCAGAGAAGAGCTGTGAAAATTTCAGGATGATTCCTGCATATGAGAAGAGGCTGAAGGAGCTGAAATTGTTTAACCTGGAGGAGAGGCTCAGGAAGATCTTGCCAATGTGGATAAATACCAGATGGGAGGGAGTAAAGACAGCTGAGATAGACCCTTCTCAGTGATGCCCAGGGAAAAGATAAAAGGCAGTGGGAAAAAATTGAAATACAGGAAATTCAGTTTATAAACATAAGAAAAAAGCCCTTCTTTATTTCAAGAGTGATCAACCTCTGGAACAGACTGCCTGGAGAGGTTGTGAAGCCTCCATCCTTGGATGTATTCAAAACCTAACTGACCAATGTGTTCTAGTTGCCCCTGCTCTGCTCAGAGGAGATGATCTCCAGAAGTCCCTTCCAATCTCAACTATTCTGTGATTCTGTAAAAAATCATCACACTACCCTGTCTCAAAACTCTGCAATCCAGCCCACACAGCCTGAATTGACAGAGGACTTTAACATAGATTATCAAGACTAAATTATTGCCCTCATTAATGACCACTTCTAAGGTTATGCAGAAGTGAAGAAATAATTCAGAGATGCTACCACTGAAGAGCTGTAAACTGAGGTAAGAAAATTCTTTCATGAAGAACGAAGTGAAGTCAAAACCCACGGACTTAAAAAACTTCATATTCAAGGCTTCGTCTGAGAGGAAAGAGCCAAACAAGTTAATTGTTGTCCTGATCTCTGAAGTTAATAGGAGTAATGCAATAGGAAACGTGACACTGAGTCTAAAGCTACAGCGTGACTAAAGCCTGATGACAACTTCAGTCCCGCTGGAATTTAAGTTACAAGGTAAACACTACAGAGAATAAAGAGAAACTGATCTTCAGGCTCAGAGTACCCGATGAGCAAAAAGCTGCTGAGATGTTAAGTGCTGTACTTCTACAGGTGCATTTCACAGTATACACGTGGATACAAAACAATTAAAAGACTGTGTGGACTTTGCCTCTGAACACCTAATAAATAATCCTCCCATTGAGTAAGGCTTTCCTGTTGTTCTGATGGTGCTTAGTCCAACTGGCCCAAACACTTGCATTCCAGGCTGTATACCTTAACTAAGGTCATGGCAAAGTGAGAACAAAAGAAGATTAAGGAGATCATACCAAGCTCCAACAAAGTAATCCGCAAGTATTCAATAGCTTGCAAAGTAACAAACAGGTAACAACCAAAACTGAGAGCATTTGTTCATTGGATGAAAATGCAGACCTACCAGGAAATGGCTAATATACACATTCCAAAACAAAAGGTGCATTTTAAGCTACACTTAAAGATTACAGATATAAAGAAACTTAATTTGGTGTATAAACTAAATGAAAGAAATACAAGTGATAAAACCTGTACAAGATAAGCTCTAGCTTTTGTTAATTTACTAATTCACGGCAGTAGCAGTAGCTAAGGACCATTGGCTAGAACTGTAGTCAAACAATGCATAAAACCGGCACTAGATATGACACTGAAAACTGTTTAAACTCAGCACCTGACATATTTACCACAGAATTTCAGGAAAAAGAGTTACTAGAAAACTGACTGTTTTCACAAATTGAATGAAGCAGCAGGGAAAGGCACAGAACTGATCTTCAAAGAACAGAAAAAGACAATTTGCTGTATTTTTTTCTGCCCAAAGCTTTGGAAAAGGTAGGAAAAACTTTAAAAACATCTTCAAGCTATTTTAGACAGAAGCAACCAACCAGCCTGCCCACAAAGCCTTGGTGCACGGCGTATGGAGGGGACAAAACTCGCAAAATGGGATCGGTTTTACCACAGCACTGAAGTGCCTTCAGCAGCAAGGGGAGCAAGAGCAGAGTCACAGCAAACTGCATTTGCTTTCTGAAAGCAAAGCAAATAGGCAGCTAAGAGGTAAGAAGATCGATCTTTTGTACCTGACCAAAGCAAGTCAGCCGCCTCTCTCATTAGGAAGAGGAATACCGTAATACAAAATCATTAGGAAGAAAAAATACATATGCTTGGGAGGGAAACCACCGCGACCCACGTAAAACAAGCTGATTTCGGCTGTCGCCTTCTGCGTTCGAAGATTAATTCAGCTTTGAAATCAAGCACTGGTCAGCAGGTGGCACCTAAAATTAGGTTGCGGGAGGAAGGTTTAAAGGGAGCCCGCTGCGAGGGACAGGCACCGCGCAGCAGCCCCTCAACACCCTCCTAAGGGGCTCTGGAGCGCCCGCCCGTAGCAGGCAGCGGGGAGGCATCGCCCCGCGGGGGGCGGCCGGGGGAGCGCCGGGAGCTGGGG